TTTCCAGCATAACCGTTCACATGCGGCGGCGAGAGAGGACATCGAAGTGATCGTGCGCTGTTCGCAGCAAGTTATGCGTGTTGCTGCTTGGCGCACTTGCAAGTAGGTCAAGAGACAGCATTAGGTGTTCGAGTCGCCCCCGCAGCCAGAAATCGTGCCAGCACGCCTCATTGCGAGGGCAGGGGGTGTCAGACAGTGGCACGCTTCCTCGGCGAGATGCTCGCAGCAAGCATCAACCTCGAACTGCTCACCGAACCGACTGCAACGATGCCCATTTCGATGTCATTCGGGGCAACGAGCTCACACCCTCCTCCCCCGCAGCGCTGGAGCAGCAGCTGGCCGAGCAGAGGTGGAGCGCGCCAGCACGAAGACTGCAGAAGTGCTTCTGACGCGTGCGGGCGATTGCGAGCAGGTGGGAAGAAGTCAAACGAGTAAACGCGCACTGCAGCAGGCGCATCAGCGAAGAAATCGGCCTGCCAGCAGGTGCTCCTCGGCAATGTCTCATCCCACGATGGCTCCAGGGACCCACACAAGCTCTGGGGAACCTTTGGGCCCCAAAAGATCGGCGAGGAATGTGCCCCAAGACTTTTTATAGCACGATTGTTCATCGTATGTGTATGCCGTAGACCTGGCAGTGCGCCCAGTGCAAACGGCCAGGTACGACTGCGGTGGCGGTGATAAGCTCACCCACGAGGTGTTCATATCAATTCCGCTTGGACGTAACGAGGCGCTTCTCGTCTCAAGTTCTTCGGACGCACGCCTCGGCATACGAAGATGTATAAAGGCATGCCCTGATGTGTCATTATTTTCCCTGTTCTCTCCTCTTCTGCCCCCTGCTGCCACCGAGGAGAAGGAGACTGCCTTCCTCCTCCTCCCCCTTCCTCCCTCCCTATGTGGGTCCACTCCCCCTCGTGATTTCAGCGGCGCCGCTCTGGGTGGCAACGGCTCTTCTGATGGTGTCTCAGTGCCGCCTCGGCGGGGTGCGCCGCAGTTACAGGGCGCTTGATGACTTGACAGCGTATCGAACGTTCGGCGTATTCAGCCAGCTCATCTTGCGACTTTGTTTTAGATCGATAAATACGTACATGCATAGTTTTACGTTCATATGCACCACACACATATACATAACTATATATATGAAATAGATAGGTCAAAACATTAGTAGATAAACAAATAAATAAACGGCGTCGCCATCTGCCCATGGCACCCCAAAACATTATTTGCACGGCCACGCTTTGTCGCTCGCTTAGTTGGCTGATTATCATGTTGGCTGACTGGCCGGCAACTCGGCCAATTGGCGTGTCGTCCAGGCAGATGTTTGGCAGTTAGTTCAGGCTGTTTGTTGGCTGGCTGGCTGCACACGTACATAGTAATGAATAAGGGATGGTGGCCTCGGGAGCGCGCTTCCAGTGCAATTTACAAGGGCTCTCGCCGTCGAGGATTCGTGGCCTCGGGTCCAGAGCCGAATTTTCAGCAAATGACGTCGGGGCCGAAAAGTGCCCCCCGAAAACAGACCCCGACACAATTAGCTTATCGAAGGCACCACCGTATGCAGTTGTGCGTAACGCAGTTGTGAGCATCGTCTTCGGTTGAGCTGCGTATGACGCCACGAGACGTGTGAGCGGTGTGCCGCAATGGGCGCAGAGGACGCATGCGAGAACTGTCACCGGGAACTTCGGTGGAGCTCCCTTTGGGACCACGAGACGTGTAAGGGGCGTGCCGGTGGCGGGGCGCGCAACGTGTGAGGGTGTGCCGCAATGGGCGCGGGGGGCGCATGCGAGAACCGTCATTGGGGCTTGCGGTGGAGCTCCCAATGGGGCCACGAAACGTGTGGGGGTTGTGCTGGCATCTGGCATGGGTGTGGGGGGCGCATTCGGCCGTAATTCACGAGAGGGTGTGGCTTCGGGGACGCAAGTTCGCATGAATGTATCAAGGGTCGTAGCCGAACCGCTCGTGGTTTACAATGGATGAATGCTTCGGGAGCGCGAACCAGTTGTAACAGATTGGGTGGTATGGCCTCGGGAGTGATACTGCGTTCTAGTTTACGAAGGGGACGTGGCTGTGGAGTTCGAACTCTGTGTAATGTATACGATGCTGTGGACTCGAGGGCGCGAATGCGTCGTAATTTACAGGGGGGGCTTAGAGGTGCGAATCTGTTGTATTTTACATGCCTCAGGGTACTTGCTTCCCAGTAGTAATGAGGCGGTTTTCAAGCGGGGGCCCTCGCGCGTTCATCAAGCATTACTACATTGAAATTAGAACATTTATATTCAGAACATTGGGAATTGGATCTGTGGCACGGTGAAGGAAAGCCTAGCCCACGCAGCCTGTTGGCCCCCAAGGGGGACGATAAATATGTAGAAAATATAATATGTCATACAACTATACTGAGGGAGGGCTATATAGTCATATGCGTAGTCATCTAGATCTACAAATATACATACATACATACATACATACATAAATACCTGAATGCATGCATGCATGCATGCATGCATGCATGTATGCATGCATGTACGCATACATACATACATACATACATACATACATGCATACATGCATACATGCATACATGCATACATACATACATGCATACATGCATGCAGGCATACATCTATATATATATATACATACATACATACATACATACAGACAGACAGACATACAGACAGGCAGGCAGACAGACAGACAGACAGACATACATGCATACATACATACATGCATACATACATATATACATACATAAATACATGCATGCATACATGCATACATACATACATACATATACATGCATGCGTGCATACATACATACATACATGCATACATACATATATACATATATACATACATACATACATGCATGCATACATACATACGTACATATATACATACATACATGCATATATCTATACATATACATACCGACATACCTGTCCACCTACATACATACATTCAGACAGACACACACACACATATATAGGTGTGTATATATATAGACCTACACACACTGACCGTCGCCGTACTAATGCAGGGTCCCGAGTGGGCCTTCTCTTCGTGATCTTTTGAGGCAGTGTTCAGTCCGTCGTAGGGGGCTTCCTGGGCCGTCTTGAGGCCCTCTGGGGCCGTCTTGGTCCCTGAGGAAAATTTGGGGGGCCTCTTGGGGCTGTTCTGGAGCGGTCTGGGGGCCCAGTGGGGCTGCTTTGGGGCCCTCCTGGGCCGTTTGGAGCCCCTCCACCCCTCCTCCTCCTCCTCTCCCATCCTCCTCCTCCTCCTCCTCCCCTCCTCCTCCTCCTCCTCCTCCTCCTCCTCCTCCTCCTCCTCCTCCTCCTCCTCCTCCTCCTCCTCCCCCCTGCCCAGGACGGCCAGGCATGCCCTCAAGACGCCCTTCACTGGCGCCCAGGTGGCCCCAGGAGGCTCCAAGATGGGCCTGCAGAGGGACCCCGAGCGACGAACACCACCTCAAGAGTCTTGCGAGGCTCCAGTCGTGCATGGCGCTCTCGACTTCTCAGCCCCGCATGGCTCCAGAGAGCCACGGCGTTCAAGAAGCCCACGGGATCCTCCAAGATGGCCCAAGATGATCTCTAGGAAGGCCAAGACGGCCCAAAGGCACATTCAAGATGTCATCCTCCTCCTCCTCCTCCTCCTCCTCCTCCTCCTCCTCCTCCTCCTCCTCATCTTCATCCTCCTCCTCCTCCTCCTCCTCCTCCTCCTCCTCCTCCTCGTCCTCTCTCTCCTCATTCCTCCACCATCCTTCCCTCATTCCCCCACCCCTGCTCCATCATTCCCCTCTCACCCCATGCAATCGCAAAGATCGCCCCCCCCCCAAAGGGGAGGAGCTGGGGGACGGGCAGATATCTGCCACGCCGATACCCGAAGGGGTCTGCAATCTCTCCCGCATTAAGGGGTTCTCGATTGTTCCAGACAGGCACGATCATTACGTGCACCATCTCTGCGTCCGTTGCTAGACTTCTGCCCACACATCGTTGCTAGCGCGTTCTCTGGCGATATGTTCGGGGTGATAGTGCAGCCTTCACCGTCGTTGTCGTTGCAGCAGGCGTCGCGTCTCTATTCGCGTCCTCCCCCCGTATTGCTCTTTCTCCCGCCGGGGACCGATCCCCTCCCTCTCCCCGCCTCCTTCTTCCCTCCAATTTCCCCCTCTCCATGTTTTTTTCATTCTCTGCCCCATCCCCTTCGCTCGCTCCTCACGCGACCGTCCTGGGGCTCTCTTGGGGACCTTGTCGGCCATTTTGGAGAATCTGAAGGCATGCCAAGGAGGCCAAAATCATTCAAACGCCTCAGGATTCCGTGTGATGTTGGCCTCCTCGCCCTCCCAGTCCTCAGGCGTCCAAGTCGGCCCGAGAGGCCCCCAAGAGAGCCCCGAGAGGACCCCCGAGGCATTCCCCCCCTGGCCCCCTCTGATATCCGACGTTGCGAAAAAAATGCAACATCGCGAAAGATCACGGTCACAGCCCTAGACCCAATATTTCTGCTACATGTTTCTGGCCGGATCGTCTGAGCGTCCATCCTTCTTCGTCGGCCTTCCCCCTTCCTTCCCTGCACGCCGGCCACGTCGCCAGTTAGTGCTCTTACCTGGCTGTTACGGTGGTGCGGAGTTCGCCGCCTCGCCGCTTACGAAAAAGTGTCTGGCTGGATCGAGCCGTGAGGGCCCCAGCGCCCGCAACCGAGCGACAACGCCCGGCGCTAACACATGGCAATGTCCAGATCTCGAGGCCCCAGCTCCCAGGGCTCATGTCGATCCCTTCGATTCCGATTCGATACGATTTCGACGGCTTCCGATTCCGATTCGATTCGACTTGGGATTCCGATTTGGGTTCCGATTTCTTCTTGGAGGCCTACTAGCCTGCCGATGTCTACCGATTCGACTTTCCCCGACTCGGCTGCCGATCTCCGCCGATTCGGTTCGTGTCGACTTTCGATCCGACCTGTCGACTCGATTCTGGGCTCTCTCCTGCCATTCTCCCTCCCCACCACGGACCGAGGTGGGCCAGGAGGAGATGAAGCGCAGGACGTCTCGGGCCTGGCCCGTGTGGCGCCTGCCACTGGGAGAGAGCACGGGGCGCGGGCTGGGGGCGGGGGAGGGGCAGCGACCACGGGGTCCCCCAGGCCCAGACATACTCGCGTCGTTTTGTTGTTTTTTTGTGTATCGAAAAAGGCAAAATCATGAACAGACAAACAAAACAAAAAAAAAGGAAGTTGTTGGCCGCTGGGGTCTTCCAGTGGCCCCCGCCGGGCCCGGGGACCGTCTCAAAATGATTCGGGATGAACCACAGGCCCTGTGGAAGGGGTCGGAACTGCTGGGGGGCCCGTATTGGCAAAAGCAAGACGTCGCATGTGTGGGGGGATGGGGGGAGCGAGCGGGGGAGCGAGGGAGGAAGCAGGTGAGCAAACGAGCCAGGTCCTCACGTCGGCTGCATGGCCCATTGGGGGGTAGCACTGCTGCTCATCCCCCCGACCTCCGCAGAGTGACCATAAGGGTAACCCTAAGGAGGGAGTGGGAGCAGTGGTAAGCGACGCGCTGAGGCGAAGTTGACCAACAATGGAGCGACCGTGGTCCCAACGTGAGCCAGGACTGATCCATGAGCAGCTTTCCAAAAAAAGTCTGGACCACTTACTTTGGACAAGTGTATGGCGCAGCTTTGGACCGCCGTGGACAAGCTCTGCGCCACTTCTGATCAGCTCGCAGTCGACTCTGCCTTAGCGCATGGGTTACCCTGGAGGAGGAGGAGGAGGAGGAGGAGGAGAAGAAGAAGAAGCAGAAGGAGGAGGAGGAGAAGGAGAAGAAAGAGGGGGAGAAGGAGGAGGAGGAAGAGAAGAAGGAGAAGGCGGAGGCGGAGGCGGAGGCGCAGCAGCAGCAGGGAGGAGGGTGGAGGTAGGAGGGATGGAGGGAGGGAGGGAGGAGGGGGGGGGGGAGGAGCACGCTGAGCATGGGTTCCGTTCAGTGGGGCGCGGCCGGGTGAGGATCTTGAGCCGGGGGGAGACCAGCGGACGCATCGACGACAATGAGGACCCCACGCCGCGCCGGCTCTCCGACGCCCCCCCTCCACTCTGCCCGCGGTGCACCGCTGTCGCCGGCGAGGTCCTGCCCTGAAGCCCTGGCGTTGCAGTTTTTTGTCGCAACAAGCGATGTTGCCGATTCTTTCCTATACAAAACAAACACACACACACAAAAAAAAAAAAACGATGTTGATAGAGGCAGCTAAGCTCGTTTCAGGCCTGGGGACAGTCACGGAGGGAAACGGCTCGAAAAATGCTTCAGAAAGGTGGGGTCCAGGGCTCCGGTCGTGGTGTTTGACGATGTCTCAATTTCGTTCGCAACGTCGGATCTCGGGGCACCGCTGCGGTCGCCGGCGAGGCCATGCAAGTAGCAATGTCATTGCAGCACGGATTTTGGCCCTCGGGCCCCCCAGAGGCCAGACACCGGCGGCGCGGGGGAAAGGCCCCTCAGGCGTGGGCCCCTTGAATCGGCGGCGAAGGGCCTCGCGACTTGGCCCGCCATCGCTCCCAAGCCAGGAAGCAGAGCCGTCGAAGGACCCAGTTTTCAAGCCCGGGCGCCGCCTGCCTCGCCCCCCTCCTGCCTCCGACCTCCGACCCCCCCGCGGGCCCTCGGTCCGAGGCTGGCGGCCCTCCTCGGGGCGGCCAGCAAGAAGGATGCGGCCACCAGTGGGCCCAGATTGATGAGAGCCTCTGGATGTGCGAGACCTGCAAAATCGGAGCCCGCTCGGAGGCAGCCCGTGCCCGTAAAGAAGCCCCGCGATGCGAGGGGCACTGCAAGGCCTTGTCGAACCTTACAGAGGATCGTAATGGTCATGGCGTTTGTGTTTTCGACCGCCTCGACAACGAGAGTTGTGTGTTTGGCGTGCTGGAATTGTGGCGCTCACAGTGAATTTTTCCCCAAGGCCTTCAAGAGTGATTGCCCTGGGTGCCCCGCCCCAGTAATAACAAGATAGCGGCCCTTAATTGCCTGAAGACCTGCCGCCACCCCAAGGGAGGCATGAAGAGCAGGCCCCGTTTTGCCAACCCCATCAACCTGAACAGACTAAGCAGGGAAGCGCAGAGCGCGCAGCAGGGGCTACAGCAATAGACAGACGAACAGTCCTCAGTCAGATGCGCTGGTCCTCCTCATCCTCCTCCTCCTCCTCCTCCTCCTCCTCCTCCTCCTCCTCCTCCTCCCTTCTCCTCCCTTCTCCTTTCACCCTTCACACTTCACCCTCTTCCACCTCCTCCTCATCCTCCTCCTCATCATCCTCCTCCATTATCCTCATCCTCCTCCTCCTCCTCCTCCTCCTCCTCCTCCTCCTCCTCCTCCTCCTCCCATTGCTCCTTCTCCTCCTCCTCGTCCGCCTCCTCCCCCTCCTTCTCCTCCTCCTCCTCCTTCTCCTTCTCAGGAGACGCTCGTGAAGCGTTTCGTGACGTTCGAGGAGGCGACCTGGAACGGGGACGCGCAAGAGGCAGGCATAGGAGGGCCACGTCCTCGGCCCAGAACGCATTGCCGCGCCAGCGTTGGATCCGTGGGAGCGTCAAGTCTCGTCTGGCCCACGTCATTCGACGCAGAAGCGCCCGGGCTGAAAGATTGTTGTCCAGTTTTGTCGCTCCCATTCTGAGCCGAGGCTCGGGTCGGCCACCTGGACAAGCCCTTGTGCCCAGGGCGATGTGGCCCGCTCGAGTCTGACAGGAGCATCGATGGCGGCGTGGCGAGGGGGGCAGACAGAGAAGAGGTTTGGGCGCGTTTCGTGCATGCTGCTAACGCGCACCCCTGTCCGGCACCCAGGCCCTTGGGCCGCGAGTTTCAGCAGGTGGAAAGGGGGCGGCTGCCGCACTCAGGGAGGAATGTGCAACATCGGCGGCGGTCGGGGGCCGCAGACGGGGAGCTCAAGGGCTTCGGGCTCCCATGGGGCTTCTGATCTGGCCAGATGTGGCGCGTTCCCCCAAAACGCCGCCGACGTCAATCGACAGAAGTTTCGGCCACCGCTGGCGCGTGTTCGAGTGAACGCGATGGTTATTTATAACCTTGTGTTGCCCTGTACTGTATAGCAGCGGAGAGAGGGCGCAGGAGGCAGGAAGTGATCTTGTGGGTATTGTTGGCGTGGTGTTCGCAATGTGGTTGCGTCACCCTCGGTGTTTTTGCTTGGGATAGAGAGTGAAGGGATCTTTTTTAGGGCACGGGTGGAGAATCCGGGCAGAGGTGCAGCTGGGGGGGCGAGAGGAGCGAAGGAGACCTGGGAGGAGGGGGGCCGTGCTGCACTGCTCGAGGGGAGGCGGGGAGCAGCGCGCAGGAGCGGCGTGCGCTGGCCGTGCGGCTGGTGCGATGCACGGGCAGCGTGCCGCGGGAGCTGCGGCGGCACCTGCGAGCGTCTATAGCGCCGCGGGCTCGGCCGGGGTGCCCCCCGGGGGTGCCCCGGGGGGCGGCCTGGTGTGCAGCCGGCGGGGGGGGCCGAGGCGGTCCAGCATTGGTCCTGGCCAGCAGAGGCAAGGGAGACAGGTCCCCTGGCTGGGCGCGGCTCGGAAAGCTGGTCAGTGTCGACCCCAGGAGGAGTCCGGGGACCGACTTTGAATGGACTTGCCCGCGTACTCTCCACCGATTTTCTCGGGGCCCATCTCGCGCAGACCACCTGCCCGCTTCCAAGGCCTTGCGGTTCCCTCAGCGCTCATGACTTGCATGTGCGGGGGAAACAGTCAGATCTGGCTCAGGCTGCTCAGTCAGAGTTTCCAGGGTACCGCTCGGCCAGGGATGAATACAGTTCAGCCCATCTATCGTGCATGCTAGTTTCTGGGCGAGGGCCTGGATTTCATGCGCAATGGCAGGGGATCGGGACCGTGGGCAAGAGGAGGGACGCATCAGCCACCACAGCAAGAAGTCGCCAGCTGAGGACTGATCTCTTGTAGAGTGTGCCGGACTGTATGGAGGCAGAGGTGGACAGGGGGACGGCAGCAAGGAATGCAGTTCCCAGAAGGAGGTCGGGGGCATGGGCAGAGAGCCTGTTGTCGTCCGCAAGGGAGGAGACCCGCCCCATTCTGGACCACTACGAGGCCAAAGGCGTCTTGAGGAGGATCGACGGCGAACGCGACCCAGACGAGGTGCCCCCCCCGACGCCAGAGAGAGCAGAGAGAGCAAGCCCGTGATAGCACAGAGCCGAAGTTGGACAGTGGAGAGGGGAGGGAAGAGAGAGAGCAGAGAGCAGAAGTTGCAAGTGGAGGCTGCAGAAAAGAGCAGAGCTTTTAGAGAGTGCAGAGAGTGGAGAACAGAGGACTGAGGGTATAGATCTCACATGCGGAAGGGGCAAGTTCAAGAGTAGAGGGCTGAGAGGAGGTAGTGGATAGTAGAGAAATAAGATGACAACATTTGCAGTTCCATGCTCTCGCCTACCACCAGCATGCTGCCATACATCATGTGCCAGGACACCAGTGGCCCGGGGCTGGGGCTGGGACACCCTCCCGAATTTCCCCCCGCACCTTTTGGCCCACGACGTTTGTGACCCCTTCCGGGGCCTCCTGGGCCTCTCCCCCGCCGCTCAGAACAGCTCCAGAGGCCACCGAAAAGTGATCAGAGCGGCCCGACAGGGCCGAAGACGCCCGAATATTGTTTCAAGACGGGCCCAAGATGCCCCGAAGACGTCCCAAGCAGGCTCCAAGATGCGGGCCTAGAAGGCCCCAGGAGGCTAAACAAAAATGTTCCACTACGTAGGGAAAGCATTCATTTTTAGCATATTCGCAATTTGGGTCTCAACAGCGCCCAGAACGGCCCAAGAGGCCTTAAAGATCGCTCCAAGTCGGCCCAAGAGGCCCCCAAGAGGGCCTCCGTGACCATTTTGGCTCAAGAGCATTGCAGCTCAAGTCTGGTTCAACCCAGGCGAATGCAAGATCATAGTTACGCACACATCTTAGAAATATTATACACATCACTCTTTTCAGTGCGTCAGATGTCCTTGCCAACTGCGCGGGTGCAGCAGGCCCTTCAAAGTTTTGCAAAAGGATGTCTCGCACACAGACTTGTCGTGAGTGTCGCTGTGATCTGTGCATTGATCCTGGCGCTGCGCCACGTTCTCTCTGTCCCGTTCAGCATTTTCGGCGGGCCAAGCCTTCATATCGCTATCGCCGAGTTCCTGTTCTCGTTCGGCGTTCTCGGCTGCTTTGTCGATTCTGGCAGTATGAAGAGCACGCAAGAGAACGCAAAGGTGAAGAAGCTGACCGCTACAACATCATTGATCGGCAAGGTGGCTTGTCACGGAAGTCGCGAAGCCTGGCGCGCAGTCTCTGTCGAGGAACGTGATTCGCCTAAGAAATCAAGTAATGTTCAAGTCAGTCCCAAGGCCTCAGGGGATCAGCTTATACATAAAAGAAAAGTGTCGAAGTCCGACGTGTACATCACCGAGTGCGCGAAGAGAGAGGGCGTGACCCACAAACTCCCACAAGTGTTGGAAGTGGTGCATGCATCCATCAGACTTGGAGACGGAGACGCCGCTGTGAAATTGTTCGATCAGATGTTGGAGAAAGGGGCCGTCACTAGCGCACACCTCATTCACAAGGCCGTGTCAAACAAGTTCTTTCAGCTCGTCGTTGGAACTCTCGATGACCAACGAATTCGTATAGACGGATTGCGTCTTCTTGACTTAGTCCGAGCTCATGGAATCGACCCGTCGCCTACTACCCAGAACCGTTTGTTCGCTGCGTGGAATGATCAGCCTCCAGAGATAGTCGTGGAATATTTCGCGGAGATGAAGAGCGCGGGTGTCGTCCTCAGCAAGTGGGCATATCGTGCCATCGTTGTGGCTTACGGGCGCTCCGATCCCTCATTCGCCTTGAGGGTTAGCAAAGAGATGGAGCGATCAGGTATTCAGCTTTACCGTAAGGCGTACAATGCAGTGTTGTGTGTTCATCTTCATTTTGGCTTGCACAACGAGGCCCACAAGTTGTTCATGCAAATGGCTGACCACTCCGTGGCCCCAAACGCAAGATCTTATGGCATCATGATCAGGGTCTATACGCTCAGTGACCAATTTGAGAAAGCCATTGCCGTTTTCGAAGATATGCAGAAGCAGTCCTTCGAGCCCGACCAAATCGCCTACCATCATGTTATCCGTTCTTGCATTTTGCTCCAGCGGGTTGAACGCGCCGTGGAGTTGTACAAGGACGCCGTTCTGACGAAGGTGCCCTTGTGCACGAGCACGTACGTCATTCTGAGTCGTGCGTGCAAAGATGTTGGCTTGAAGTTTCTGGCAAGCAAGCTCGACATGGAATCGGCAAGCCAACAAATAGTGCGTATGAAGAAGGCCGACACCGCGTGCAAGACTCAAGCCTAGCATGGAGTCAACAGCCCAACGGCGCAATGGCAAACAAGCGGTCCAGGCAGCTAGGTTAGATGCAGCAAGGTTTTCGATGAAGTCTGGCATGGCTGCATGACGGCGAAGGCAAGCTCAGCATGATAACATGCGCACAAGATGAGGGCACCGTCTGTCCCTCCTCCTATCATCCTACTTCTGTGGCCGCGTGGTTCAGTAGGGCATGCTGCCTGCGGTCTGCGCGAGGCTGATCTGCAGTCGCGAGCCGCCCAAGACGGCCCAAGAGGCCTCCAAGAGAGACCCAAGACGGCGTAAGAGCGCCCCAAGACGGCCCAAGAGGTGCCCAAGACGGCTCAAGAGAGGTAGAGGTCTTGCAATGCCTCTCTCATAATCCCTTCTGACACGCCTTGGAGCAATGTGTTGGGAAAGTTGTCGCTCCATGTTTGCAGTCCTTGGATTACATGAGCTCGAATCGAATCGCATCCCCTCTGCGTTCCTCCTCTTCCAGCGGGCTCCCGCCTGATGGATGCCCTGACCTCCTGTGACCCGAGCCCGTTTCGGTTGAGACAGCGTCGCAAGCCCAGAACGACCACGCGTTAATTACCCTGGTCGCTCTCTGCATATTAGACATCGGCGCTGGCTCCCTCCTGCGTCACAGCCGCTAAGTCGGCCTCTGTTTTCTTCAGCACTCGTGCGCTTGCCCGTTCGCGCCACGGTCGGCAGGTCCCTCCCGTGGCCCGCGGAGGGGCTGCCGCCCTCGCGGGGGCGGAGGCGGGGAGGCGCTCGGGGCGCGCCGCGCCCACTCCTGCGCGGAGCCTGGGCGGAGAGGCGCTGCCCTTCAGGTGACACCCGGGGCCAAGAGATCCAGAGCAGCAAGGTAAAAAAGGGGCCCCCAAGAGGCCCCAGGACGGCCTAAGAGGGCCCCAAGACGGCTTTGAGAGGCGCCCAGGAGGGATCCAAGGAGGGAGGACTCGAACTGACATGACGAGCCCTCCGCTCCCAGTGGGCCCCCAGGGCCACCAGCAGGCCCCCAAACGGCCCCCAAGAGGCCCCAAGAAGCTTCAAAAGTCGCTCCACGAGGCGCCTGAGAAGCATGCCAACAGACCCCGAATTACAGGTATCCATGAATCCTCTGGCCCAAAGTTCAGGCACAGTAGCGGTATGGGCCTCTCTGCATACATTGCGCGCTGTGGGTCTATGCGGAAGGCGGATTGCTGCGGAGCGCGCGTGCATGGGTACATTGAATTCTTTGTGGGGCACGATCCGCGTGTATGCCGACTAAGTCGGATGCTCCCGCGCGAACACGCCCATTGAGGCCGCAGGTGGGCATCTTCCAAGCACGACCTGTGTGAGGCATGTTCCGAGATGGGATGGGCGGCGTTTTGCGAAGTTGCCCAGTGGTGCCATAAGTGGAGCTCCTTCTAGGGCATGATTCGCGTGACGGGTGTGCCGGCATAGGCGGACGGGCGCTGTACGAACCTTGTCTTTGGGCCTTTAGGTGGTGTTCCTTGTGCACACGATCCGCGTGATGGGGTGTGCCGCAATGGGCGGGGGGGCGCAATGCGAGCCCTGTCTCTGGGGCCATGGGTGGAGATCCCTGTCGGCCACGATCCATGCGAGAGGTGTGCCGAAACAGGCGGGGGGGCGGCATGCGAACCTTGCCTCCGGGACCGTCTGTGGAACTCCCTGCGGGCCACGATCCGTGTGAGAGGTGTGCCGAAGTGAGCCGGTCGACAGTACGAAGCTTCCTTCTGGTGCCGCAAATTTAGTTATTTGCTGGGCGCGATCCGCATGAGGGGCGTGCCACTATGCGAACTTTGTTGTCTCTGGGGATGCAGGTGAGGATCCCTGTGGGGCGCGATCCCTTTGAGGGGTGGGCTGGCATGGGCAGGGGAACGCTAAGCCAAGCCTGTTTTGGGGGCCGTAAGTGGAGCTCCCTGAACCTGAGAGCGCGAAGCGCGCGTGGTTCTAGTTAGAAGAAATCAACTAACAACTGAGCGGGAGTCTCTCAGATGCAACCCTTACCTTTGTCCCATCTCGTGCCCTCTCCTCTTGTCTTCTCTGCACCCCCTCTCCATCCGGCGGCCCATAATCAAATCCAAGAGTATCCCACATCGCGCCCTGCCCTCTCATCCGCTCTCTTGTCCCTGGGTGATTCCCGATGCCTCTTCAGCGCACCCATCCCTAGGGGCAGCGAGGGGCAGCGCTTCCGCTCGACGCCCCTCTTGTTGCTCTGGCCCGTGGCGCTCTCTCGGAGCTCTCTTGCTCCTCCCCCGAGGGGCACCACCACCGACGGGCGGCTCCCGCCCAGGGCGTCCTCTGAGGTGGTTCCGTGGCTCCCGGCCTGAGGCGTCCCCAGACGTCCGGCGCCTCGAAAAAGCGAGGCGAGGGCTTGTCACGGCTGTCGGCCTTTCGCGGCCCCTCTGCTGCCGCGCCTCGGGGCCGTCGAAGAGCGGCTCGGGACGAGAAGCGGGTCCCGGGGGAGGGGTCGAGAGGTCGGGGGCCCGCGCCTCGACAAAGCACGAGACGCCAGATGTCTGGGTCCGCGCACGCTGCTGACTGTGACCAAGCAGGGCGCAGTGTCATTCCACTCCTCGCTGGGTGTGGCTCCAGCCTGGGCCAGCCACGCGCAGAAGGGGGGCAGGGTGAGGGGGGAGGGCTTCTGAGAAGCACCCCTGTTCTTTAGAAGATGCGGGCCTTGCCTGTAGACGTAAGGCCGGCGCCTTCTAAGAAGCAGCCTCCCTCTAAGAAGTTTTCCCCCCTCCCCCTACCCCCCTTGTGCGCGCCGACAACTGGGGCCCTCAGAGCAGCGCGGAGAGTACTTCCCACTTGTCCGCGGGTGTCTCCCTCCTGGGGGGGGGGCTTCCTGGCAACATTCCCACCCTTGGTGGCAGCGGAGCCTGTCTCCACTTGGGGATACAGAGGGCGAAAAGGAAGAGGAGGACGATGATGATGATGAAGTGATGATGATGAGGAGGAGGAGGAGGAGGAGGAAGAGGAGGACGAAAACGAGGAGAGGAGGAGGAGGAGGAGGAGGAGGAGGAGGAGGAGGAGGAGGAGGAGGAGGAGGAGGGGGAGGAAAGGGCAGGGACAGGGCCATCCCTCCCAGGAAGCACACACAGCCTATGGGGCCCAGCAGGCCCCCCACTCCCGCCCCCCACCGCTTCGTGTCGGACTTGTCCCTTTGGAGGCAGGCCAATCCAGCTTCCTCCACCTGCTATTAGGTCGGGCGTGTCCCTCTACAGGAGGAAGATTCGAAAATGGTAAGAAAATTGTCTGGGGACGACTTGCCGACCATTTTGGATCACTTTTGAGCATGTTTTGATTATGTTGTCTTCCTCTTCAAAAGCCGCCAGTGGGGGACATGCCCGAGCTAAACCTGGTACTGGGATATTGGCCGTGGGTCGTTCCGCAGCGGGCCCTCGAGGGAGCAAGAGGATCTCCCAGACCGTCGACAGCTCTCGGTTTCGCCCAGTCGCCAGCCCCTGAAGCTCTCGACGCCTTCCCGATCCTGAGTCGGTTTGACGATCCAGGGGCCCGGATCTGGGCTGGCATCTCCCCCCTCGGCGCAAGCCCGCGGAGGAAGGACCTGTGGAAGAGGCGCGGCGGAAGCGGGCGGCGGATTTCCTCAAGAGAAGCGGTGTCCAAGGCTGGCCACCTAGAAGCGCCCCGTTTACGGGGATACGACGACGACCACCACGCCAGTCTTCCCATCAGTCCCCCTCCCTGCATGCTTCACCCCCCCCCCTCTCCTTCCATCTACTCCCCCTTGTTTCCGTCCTCCCCCACTTCCCCCCCTCCTCTCCTCCGCTCTTCCCCTTATCACCCCGTTCCGCCTACCCTTCCTGCCCCATCTGCGCACTCCCCCCCTTCCCCATCCC